CCACCCTGAAGCGATCTACGTGGCTTCTGGAATTGCACGGTGGGCTGATGAAAGAGGCTTGCAGTCAAGCAGTAGGCTTCAGTTCATTTTTTCACACAAGTCGCTTTCCTCTTCACATCTTAGAAAACAGTAGTCTTGTTGCATCGAGGCGAAGCAGAGATGGGACCCAGAGCGGACCTGTCGTGAGCATTCTGTGGGAGATCCAGGCGGCACCCTTCAGCTGAGGCGTCAGCACGAGTCCACCCCGAAACGCTCTTCCCGTGCCGTGGGGCCTAAAGGCACACCCGAGACCCGGACTTCCTGCCGTGGACTCAGGCTGCTCTCCAGGCTGTAAATCAGACAGGATGGTGCCCCTGCCCCTGCAGCGGGGCTGATGGGTGCGGAATGCTACAGAGCTCTGCCCGCCCCGAGTCCCGCTCACATGCCCTGTCGGGGCGTGGCTGAGGTTTTGACTCCGATGCCCCATGTGTGCACGCAGGGCAGGCTCCTCGGTCACTGTCCGTGTTCCCTGTGCCTGTCGTGTACACGTCATGCCCGCGGGCGTGTGCCTGCCACAAACACTACAGTGTCGTCAGCCATACCGTGTCATCATCACCACACCAGAGCAGTGGCCATGCGTGAGTCCTGCCACGTTGCTGAGCCGGAGGCCTTGAGTTCTCCCCTCAGGAACCGGGGGAGTCCAGGCAGGTGGAATGCCGGGTTTAAGTCAGAGGACCCCATGTCACGTTGCTATGCGTGGAAGGTGGTCATGGTGCTCACCCAGAATTGGGGTGAAGTCTGTCCCAGGCTCCCCGCAGCAGTGCTCGGTGCTTATCTGTGAAATGAGCACATTATGGAGCAGTTCTTGGGACGGATTTGACTGGCTAAACTCTTGGTGACTGCTGTCATAGAGCCATTGCTTCCGCGCTTTGAATTTCTAAAAGGTTCTATTCTATTGAATTTTAATTTGTAATTTTTCTTGCTTTCACTTGAGAAATTTATATGCTTTTGTGACGTTAAAATTTGGCTCTAATTTTTAGCATAATCTGTTCATATTGTTTTCTTTTAATAGACATTCATTATGATTTTTTAACATTCTTGTTAAAGATTACATCTTAAAGTTGAGGAAGAACTACGTGTGCCTAGTAGTCCCCACAATGTCATGTGCGTCCCCAGCCGTCAGATCACGGGTATTTTCCAGATGACGTGGTGTCCGGGGGGCTTCGTTTTGGCGGTCACCTCGCCGGTGCCCTCCCCAAATGCCAGCTTTCACCCAGCCGCGTGCAAACATTTACAGCCATTTCAGGAACCATGTTGTAGGGATCGGAAGCAAAGGCTGGCCGAGGCGATGCTGTCGGTGTCCTTCCCCACCTCCCTCCGCGGCCACCACTCCCCACGCCGCTGTAACGCGTCCTTATCTGCTCCACGATGCATGAAATCAACTCCCAGCTTCGGAACTGTCCGCACCTCTGACCCCGGTTAGTGAAGACTCAGAGTGACCTTTCTGTTGTCATCGGCTTTCAGTCTCCTGAAAATTCTATGCATTTTTATTACAAGTTTGGTGAGGTTTTTTTAAACCAAGCTGCATCCTCCACAAATGACTTGACGCAGATGAGATGGCGTTGTGCAGGTAGCGTTAGGTAAGTTCTGCAGCAGCACCACGGCTCACGAGTACAAAGGCAGGGCCTCCAATGTCATACACCAGTGACTGCTGAGCCCGCGATTGGATAAATACATCATTTTATGGAACATTGATTGTTCTATAAACCCAGTGGAGTATTATGCTCTATGATCAAACCATTTAGATTGTGTGTAGAGCACAGAAAATGCCATATTCAGGATGGTACTAAAAGTGCCATTTGTGTATTTTATGGACGTCATTACAGGGGAAACTTCTCTCTGTAGGCCCTGTTTACGGCAAAATTTTTTAGTTTGTAATGACATTTTTCATTCACAATGTATGCCTTCAAGAGAGGGGGCCCTTGTTTTATTTGTTTCATTCGCGTTTACTGCACAAATTCTGTACATTTTAATTAAATGTAAGCTTAACAAAACCATAAGGTATTTATTCTGGGGAGGGGGGAATGATGACAGTAACGAAAGAATAACACAGGCACAAAAAGGAAGTCATCAGGTTCCCAGCAGCCCAGAAACTCCAGGAGCAAGACCAGCAGAAAGGTTTGGGGCGCAGAGTGACCACTCAGCCCCCAGCCCTGCACAGGGGAGCAGGTGGCATTGGCAGAGGGGTGTTCGTCGTCAGCCACCATGGCTTGAAAATCCTGTTCTAGACAATCAAGCTGCTTAGAGATTCCGAAGCAAACCCAGAGGCCTCACAGACCCCCGCATCCCTGCTGAGATGTGCAGTGCGGCCACGGCTGGTGTGGAGAAGGGGGTGCTGTGCTTTTGTGCCTGGAGATAACGAGGGGCTCCGGTCACCAGGCCCTGGGCCCCACGCTCGCGCCCTCCATCCCTCGCAGAGCCACCCACGGGGCTGCCGGCCGGACACTTGGTGTGGGCTGTGGGCACGCTGCCCCTGGCATTCTCAGGCGACCCTCTTCTCTAGACGGCTTGTCCGTTTGGCCTTTCATGTCAGCAAGCCAGGGTTCATATTTACTACAAAGATCTCAAAAATTGAAGTTGATGTGCCCAGTAAATTCTTGGGCAGAGTCCAGTTAAAATGTAAAGTTCCAGCAGAGAGTCACATTAGTTTAAATGACACTTGAACTTCTGCATAGCGCGACATTAATTCATTATGGCTGGAATGGAGAAACTGTCGGTGGGTGAATCTTCTTCAGTCTGATTGAGGCTGTTACGTTTTATAGGTGCTATTTTTCAAAGGAGTACTGACAGCACTCCAAGTTATTAAACTGCTGAATCAAAAGAGGACCTGCAGCCGCATTTATGAACTGCGGGAAGAACGGGCGGAGGGGAAGATGCTGGTGGCGTTAAGCTCCATCAGCCCTCAGCAATGGTGCTATTTACCCACGTAGTTTACTTTAATGGTCTGGAAGTGGCTTAACCCACCTCTGGATTCATATAAATTCAGTACGTAGTTGAGAAGAGCGTAATTACTGGGGCTGCTTCCCGCCAGCGGCAAAGGAGGAACGTGGTCCTAGAGGACCCGCCAACCGTGTGGCTCCCCTGCTTTTGGACGTAGTGGCTGTGTTCTCGTGGGGGCGGTAACTCAGAGGTGGCCTGCTTGGCATCAGCAGAGAGTTTTTGTTACTTTCTCCCCTCAGTCCCCCAAAAAAGCTGGATTAGAGTGGAAATGACCTTCACAGTAGAGAGGGGACAGCAGACTGGGTCAAGTTCAGAGTGTGGGGGAGACAAGCAGGGTGTTGTCTCCTGGGTGGAAGAGGGTGTGGGGGACAAACCCCAGGCAGGTGGTGAAGTAGAAAACTATCCAGAGGCCCTGGGGTGGGACGACAGCAGGGACCAGCAGGCCTGGTCATCGGGTGAGTGGCCTCTGGGGACAGGACTCTGGAGGTTCTGTGGGCAGTAGCATCGAGCTGGCACTTTACTGATAAGAGCCCATCCTGATGGCTCTGGGCTCGAGGTGCCAACCCGAATGCAGGGTGCATGGGGCCTGCCTCGCTCCATAAAGTGGGAGTGTGGGGCGTGAAGAAGGGCCAGACATTCCCAAGCAGGCCCTCTACAACCCTAGACTCTCCACACCTAGCCTTTAGGGACACTTTCTGCCCTCTGTGGGGTCTCATTCCCTACTGTGAAGCCCCAGCCCAGACCCATGTCCCACAAGCAGTCAGGGAGGCAGGAACCGCTGGTCTGGCTGGGGGCCTTCTGAGGGGTACCCAGTGGCTGTGTGCTACCAGAGCAGAAGATGTGCAGCGGGGCACAGAGGTGCTGCCGTGAACCCGCTGGTCTCGCACCAATCAGGATTCTGGACTCGACTCTTGGCGGTGTAACTGACCTCAGAGAAAATAGGTCTTCTGGTCCTTGAGCACAAGGCCCATAACTCCGCACTGCACCCCAAACAGGGCTGACTTCTCACTGCACCCCAGTACAGCTGACTCCCCTCACTGACCCCAGCACAGGGCTGACTCCCCTCACTGCACCCCAGTGCAGGGCTGACTCCCCTCACTGTACCCAACACAGGGCTGACTTCTCACTGCACCCAGTACAGCTGTCTCCCCTCACTGCACCCCAACGCAGGGCTGACTCCCCTCACTGCACCCAG